GAGCCCTACAAAGTGCTGGGTCAGTGGTTCTCGACGCTCTAGGGCAGTGGTTCTCAACCTTCCTAACGCCGCGACCCTTTCATACAGTTCCTCATGTTGTGGTGACCCCCAATTTCATTGTTACAAATTGAACATAATGAAAGCATAGTGATTAATCACAAAAACAATATGTAATTATATCTGTGTTTTCCGATGGTCTTAGGCGACCCCTGTGAAAGGGTCGTTCGACCCCAAAGGGGTCGCGACCCACAGGTTGAGAACCGCTTCTCTAGGGGTTGCAAAAAACGCCCGGGGAGGCTGGTGAAAGTCGCCCACCCATGGCCCGGGAAGCCACATCCCACCCCAGGCGATGAGGGGGAGCTCCTTGTCCACACCGTGTCGCCAGGTCCCTGCGGGGCCCGGCAAGTGTTGGGAGGATGAACAGAGGAGCCCCTGTGGAACCGCGTCCACCAGCTGCGCCTCATCTCCGCTGAGCTCACGGAGCAGAGAAACGGGAACTCCTGCTCCAGCCCCGGGCGCCCAGCTGACTTCAAATCGGTGTTCATTTCACGGGTGAAGTGAGGGTGTTGGTGATTCTTGAAAAGTACCATGTTCACCTGGTTCCAAGTTCAAAAGGGGCTGCTACCAAGTCTCCCTCCTTCGGTCTCTCACCCACTCAGTTCCCTTACTCGGGGGCAGAGCCTGTGGCATCAGTTTCTTCTGTTTTTCCAAATCAATGTGTGTGCGACCCTGCAAACGTGTGTGTATAATACCCTCCCCTCCTTCTACATAAATGGCAGGATATGCTACACAGTCTTCCTTACCTGGCTTTGTTCACTTCACAGTACAGCTCACACAGAAGGTCTTCGTATCAGTATGTAAAAATCAGCCTCGTCCTTTTTAATGGCTGTATAATATTCCACGCAGGGCTGTCCTATCCTAGAGACATAGAAGCGGTTGTTTTCTGTTTTCAGCCCTGACCCACGACACTGCAATGTGACAGTAAGATGGGTGTAAGCTGAGTACTGAGTGAAGGCTGCTCAGTCAGCCAGGCTTCTTAAATTTGGGATTAAAAGTAAAGATATGGTGGCTTTGTTTTGGGCGTTCTTGGAGGCAGGGTGTTGGCAAGGAGACCCTAAAAGCCCCTCTGGTTGGGTTGAAAGTGGCAAAATTAATCAGGCAAGCGGTGTTCCACACATCTGTGCTCTCCCCACAAGGGGCTCACCCATCTGCTCACACAGCTGGCCAGAGGGGCTACAGGACAGCGATGGTTAGGTGGGGTGGGGAGAGGGGGATTCTGGGAGCTCTGTGGCTCCCAGTCCTCAGAGAGCCCTGCTTAATGCCCGGGCTCTGTGTGAGCTTAGTGGGGCGGGCACCCTTGATTTCTCTGGGCTTGAGAGGGACTTGGAGAGATCTAGAGGGGGTCCTGCTCCCCCTCCAGTGGGGCTTCCTGTTCACCCCTGAACCCCCAGCTCGAATAGGAATCTTGGACATAGTAGATGCTCAATGAATTCTTGGGCAGCAAATGGCTAACTGACCCCCACCCCACCTCCATCCCCCACCAAAAGATAACCCATAGGTGCTCACGGGGCTCTCCAACCGAACCGAGGGCTTTGCAACCACAAGGCAGTTCTGCAGGGCGCGGCCCACAGCTGTGGGCGCTATTGAAGGCAGGGAGTTCTCCAGCCACTCCTTGGTGGTCAAGCCCCATGGCACCTCAGGTCACCGTGGTGGGCGCCCCTTGACCCCCACACTCACTCCCACCCCCAGCTGCTGTGATGGCTCACAGCAAGGCCTCCTGGAACCGTCTACTGCCACTACCCAAGGCTACACCCCCTCCTGGGGGGCAGCTACATGCGATGTGGGGGACAAAGGCCAGACGGCTTCTCTTAATTCAGGACAAGTCTGAGGGCCATCCCAGCCCCAGAGCTCTCCAGGGGATTACCCGAAACAGAAAGATGATGCCCTAGCTGGTACCCCCTCCCCACCCCGAGCCTCCGGCGGGCCAGTCCCCCTCTCAGAATCAGGGATTGTTCACCCCTGAACCCCCAGCTCGCATAGGAATCTTGGACATAGTAGATGCTCAATAAATTCTTGGGCAGCAAATGACTAACTGACCCCCAACCCACCGCCATCCCCCACCAAAAGATAACCCATAGGTGCTCACGGGGCTCTCCAACCGAACCGAGGGCTTTGCAACCACAAGGCAGTTCTGCAGGGCGCGGCCCACAGCTGTGGGCGCTATTGAAGGCAGGGAGTTCTCCAGCCACTCCTTGGTGCAGGGAGTTCTCCAGCCACTCCTCGGTGGTCAAGCCCCATGGCACCTCAGGTCACTGTGGTGGGTGCTCCTTGACCCCCACACTCACCCCCACCCCCAGCTGCTGTGATGGCTCACAGCAAGGCCTCCTGGAACCGTCTACTGCCACTACCCAAGGCTACACCCCCTCCTGGGGGGCAGCTACATGCGATGTGGGGGACAAAGGCCAGACGGCTTCTCTTAATTCAGGACAAGTCTGAGGGCCATCCCAGCCCCAGAGCTCTCCAGGGGATTACCCGAAACTCTGGGGCCTCCACTTCCGAGCCCATCCTCTCCCACTGCTCCCCGCACCCCCTCCCCACCCCGAGCCTCCGGCGGGCCAGTCCCCCTCTCAGAATCAGGGATCAGACAGTCGCCAATCTCCGTTCAGAAGTTCAGAAGTCCAAACCCACACAAAAGAAAACCTCCAAACGTGGGCTTGTAAAGGGAAGTCTTTCCCGTTAGGGTTTAGAGGAGGAGTAAGGCTTGGGGCTGTGGGACGGGGACACCGGCTTCCTTCTATCCTTTCTGCCTGCCCAGCTGGGAGGGGTGGCTCCTGACCTGCAGCTGATTGAATAACAGCCCCCAAAGCTATCGGGCCCCGATCCCCGGAACCTGCAGGTCTCATCTGGCAAAAGCCTTCGCAGATGTGACGGGACCTGCAGGTGTGACCGCGTCTTTGCGATGGGACCTTATCCTGAATCATCTGGGTGGGCCCTGAATGCAATCGCAAGTCTCCTTATGAGAGAGGAACCCCCTCAGAGAAGGTTGGACGCCCTCAGAGGAGAAGGCACTGTGACCACACAGGCAGAGATTGGAGTGACGCAGCCACCAGCCGAGGCAGCTGGCAGCCACCAGAGGGAGGAAGAGCCGAGGAACAGACTCCCCTGGGGCCCTCGGAGGGGACCGGCCCTGCCGACACCTCGGCTTCAGCCCCGTGGAGCAGAATTCGGACCTCTGGCCTCCAGAACTACGAGAGAATGAATTTCTATGCTCTTAGCCACCCCGTTTGTGGTGATCTGTTACCGCAGCTGCAGGAACCTAACCTGTGGCCCCTGGGGGAGGGGGGGCAGCAGGTAAGTGAGGCACTGTCACAGGATGGCCCCGGCCTGTGGGGCGGGAGGACTTACACCAGGTGCTTTCTCCACCTGGGCTTCCCTGGCTCCTTACAGATGCCCCCCCGCCCGCCCCCCATGAATGGTTGGGGGTGCTCACTGCATTGACCTGAGTGCAAGGGCTGCTTTAGCCACCAGCTCCTCTCTCCATTCTTTTTATTTTTTATTTTTATTGATTTCAGAGAGGAAGGAAGAGGGAGAGAGAAACATCAATGATGAGAGAGAATCATTGATCAGCTGCCTCCTGCACGCCCCCTACTGGGGATCGAGCCCGCAACCCAGGCATGCGCCCTTGACCAGAATCGAACCTAGGACCCTTCAGTCCACAGGCCGATGCTCTATCCACTGAGCCACACCAGCTAGGGCATCATACCTCCGTTCTCTGCAGCCTGAGGAGGCCTCGGCTCCGGGCAGCCCTATCAGCCAGGTTTGGGGATGACCTCACACCAACGTCCTCTTGCACAGGCACCTTTTTTGCTTCGTAAGAAATGCTGACGCATTGTGCCCAGCACTGCGGGCGGGGAGCTGCTGCTTCTCTCCAGCGAGGCCAGAGGCAGGAGGCAGGAGGCACGTCTCCCCAGGTTCATGGCCCCTTTCTCCCTAGTTCAGTGGTTCTCAACCTTCTGGTCCTTTAAATACAGTTCCTCATGTTGTGACCCAACCATAAAATTATTTTCGTTGCTACTTCATAACTGTAATGTTGCTACTGTTATGAATCGTAATATCTGATATGCAGGATGGTCTTAGGCCAGTGGTTGGCAAACTCACTAGTCAACAGAGCCAAGTATCAACAGTACGATTGAAATTTCTTTTGAGCTCCAAATTTTTTACACTTAAACTATATAGGTAGGTACATTGTTATTAACCTAATTAGGGTACTCCTAAGGCTTAGGAAGAGCCACACTCAAGGGGCCAAAGAGCCGCATGTGGCTCGCGAGCCACAGTTTGCCAACCATGGTCTTAGGCGACCCCTGTGAAAGGGTCATTCGACTGCCAAAGGGGTCGCGACCCACAGGTTGAGAACTGCTGCCCTAGTGCGAGGGCAGAGGCTTCGCATGCCCATCTTACCCACCCGTGTCCTCCACGAGCCACGGGACAGCAGTACCTCTGGGTGTCTGAGCACCCAGCTCTCTGAGCCAAGACCCGGCCTCCATTTCAAAGACCTCAGGTCGTCACGTTTTATTTCCTATTGCGGAATCTATGTCCCCATGTCAGGGCCATACAAGGAAATATGCAAAAAGGACACAGAAGAAGGGACTAATGAAACCATCCCACAATCACCCAGGGCTCCTACTATGCACCCCACCCCACTAGGTGGTCCGTGGCGAAGCAGCAGCAAGAGCCCCTGCTTCAGGGGCTTTCAAGCTGGAGGACTGAAACGACCGAGGGAGGACAGGCGGATTCGCTAACCCCTGGGCTCACTGACACACAGTCAAACCCTATGTCCCCTTTGGGCTCTTGTATCACCCACCTGCTGCCTTTTCTCCAAAGCACAACGTGAACAGCATCCAATTCTCAGGCGCAGGCAGGAACACCGGCCTTCAAGTTTGCAATGTTGGGTTCAACCATGACAGCGAGTGAGAGTGAATGAATGGTCGCTTGACTTCATGTACAAAGAGATTATTATGAAACTTTATTGCAGCTTCTCACAGCAGAACTGAGTTTGCAATGCCAGGACCATCTTGGGATCTTCGGAAGGGACACAGAGGACAGAAGCAAGCCACTGCCTGGAGGGGGGCCTCCCCCTGGGGAGCCAACGTGTCCTCAAGAACTCTTGCTATCCACACTGCAGGGGACCAGAGCCTCTGGCCAGGAGCTTCCCAAGGGAGAGGACGCCCGGGGGACAGGCTCAGGGCACCATGTGCCACCACTTGAAGGAGAAGGGCTGCCGGCGCACATTGGTCCCGCAGTGCACCTCCCCGTGCTGAAGGTGGTATGGGGTGAAGTCATCGATGAAGACGCAGTGGAGGCCCAGCGGCTCCAGCAGCGACCGCACCTTCTCCTCCAGGCAGCAGCGGCCGTTGATGATGGGCCCGAAGGGCTTAGGGATGCCCAGGTACTTGCCCAGCACCAGCATGTTCACCTGCAGAGTGGGGAGGTCAGGTCAGGGGCGGTGGCGTGCAGCCTGCATCACTATCCCAGCACCCTCTCCTTCTGATCTTCAGAAATAACAGCTCCATTTCACAGATGAGAAAACTGAGGCCCACACGGTATAGTGGGCTAACCAAGACCATCAGCTAATCTAGGACTTCCACCCAAGTCTGTCAGACTCTGGACCCAGGCTCCTTCCCCACCCACCACCTTCTGGCCAACTCTATTACTCAACTGAGCTCAGCTCAAATGCCAGCCCCTGTGTGAAGGCGCCTGCGAATCCCCAACTCCTCGTGGATGTTCCCATAGCTCCAAGCACAGTGCCTGGCACACAGTAGGCGCTTAATAAATATCCGTTGAATGGATGAATGTGATGACCTCTTTGTAGCACTTTCTGTCTATTATCACTTATGCAAATGGCTGTTTCCTCCATTATACTGGGAGGTGGCCTAGTGAGATGGAAAGACTAGGATTTGGCTCCAGGCCAACAGTGGGTTTGGATCTCAGCTCTACGACTCAGTAGTTGTGTGACCTCAGGCAAGTCCCTTGCCCTCTCTGAGCCTCATCAGCAAAATGAGCCCTATCCTGTTTCCATCGCTATGACAACACAGTAGGTGCAGAGTCAGTCTCCAGGGCTCGTGAATCACCGACGAGGTGTCTCATCGTCAGTGCTCAGACACAGCCCACACTGCGTGCCCTGCATGCTTAATTTCTCCGCCGGTGCCCACCTCCCACTGCGGCTATGGGAGAGCGAGGCTTGTGCCGGTCTCCCTGCAGGGGCCTCAGGCGGTGAGGCCCAGAGCCGGCGCTCACACAGCATTTGAGACTCTCATCCCCCGCAGGTGGCATCAGCCTTCTCTCTGTAGCTGGGAGACCTGGCTGGGCCCCAGGGAGAGAAACAAATGCTTGGGGCCAAGGAATTATGTCCCAGGGGTGAGAGGAGGTGCCCCCTCCTGCCTGGTTTTGGCCAAGGAGTTCTTTATTCTAGACAAAACCTTCTGCAGAACTTCAGTGCATAAAACAGAAGAGATCGTAACCACTGGATTTGAGGCACTGCCATGGAACCCTAGCATCCTGGGGAACCCAGTCTGAAGACCACTCTGCTTCTTCCTCAACTGTAACCCCAGCTCCAGCAGGAGGGGGTGCCTGAGGGGCCCCAGTAGAAGTGGGTGAAGTTACTTTGAAGAGACAGAGTAACAGGTGGAGGAGTGGTAAAAACACAGCTAGCGACATAAGATGGGGCTTGGGTCACAGTTAAAAGTTCTCCACAAAAAGGTGGGACCCCTCAAGTCCCCCCGCCAGACAGGTAAGTGCCCCCGGCACTGCCAATGCCACCTCCTCAGAGAGGCCTTCCCGGCCACCCAGTCTGAACAGGCACCCCACCTTTATTTCCTTCATGGCGCTTCACCCAACCTGGGAGCATTTTGTTCGCTGCGTGTGTCCCCCAGCCCACTCCTATCCCTCCCCCCTCCCCATGCAGGGAAGCCCGTCTCGGGCAGTGCAGCCTAATGGTTAGAGTGTGGGCTCTGCCGTGTACCCCTGCTCTGAGTCCCCCCTCACACCAGCTGTGCGTTCTTGTGCCAGAGACCCCCCTCCCTGCGCCTCATCTGTCAGTGGGGGTGACGATCATCCCTGACTCCCAGGGTGCCTCTGACACGCCCACAGGAAGCAGGATGGGCCATGAAAACCCAGGCGCGTGAGGAGACAACCAAGCCCCGTGGGCCGCACCCAGAGCCCAGCTGGCCTGTCTCGCCTGGGGCCACTTCCTCACCATGTTCGGGAAAAGGGCCTCGGCCTTGGGGGTCCCGGTGAAGTCCGTGCGGAGCTTGAAGAGCTGGGGAATGTCCACGATGTCCCGCTCCCGCAGGCCCAGCTCCCGCTTCAGCACCTCCCGGTTCCAGTCGATGCAGCTCTGGGGAGAGAGGGAGGCAGAGTTGGGGAGCCCCTGCCACGTGTATTGCGGGTCCCATGGGGTCATGTCTGGTTAAGGAAAGGCCCAGGTGCCAATGGATCAACTCTAAAGGGTCAGGAAGGAGTGCAGACACCTCCTTTTCTTCTCTCTTTCCCCCACTGTCCCTGTTTTCCAGTCACGTCACTGCAGCGCCTGCCCTCGCTCCTGCCTGTGTCCCCCTGACTTTCTCTCTCCCGTGCATCACCTTGTGTGTGTGCCTGTCAGGCTCTCCATCTTCCTACAGCTACCCACATCCCAGGGCCCGCGCCCCTGAGCCAGCACGCCGCCCTGGAGGCTCTGCCTTGTGGGAAGGGGGCTGGGGGGTATCAGCCCTAATCTCAGGGAAGGGGGCTGGGGGGTGTCAGCTCTGATCT